GGGCACGCGGGCAACGAGGTGCAGCGAAGAAGCTTGAGGGTCGACACATCATAACGGAAGTGCAAGAAGATGGACGTCCTAGTGCCCCGGCCGAAGCCGCCAAGAACTATGTACGTCACAGCGGTTGGGTTGTGCGGGATAACGTGCCTGTCAGTACGGTGTACTGGCGAAGAACAAGGGCACGCGGAGATCATGAGAGCTTTGTCCCAGATTCGGAGAAAGAGATGCTGTGGACCACAATGCTCGAGACATTCACCCTTCCTGCGGGTACAGAGGACAAAGTGAAAAGGTGGACTCTGAAGAAAATGGCAGAACAGTTTCAGAGCTTCAAGGGAGATCTGTACCAGAAGTATATACTGAAGGGGCAGACACCGAACTTCGACACATTCCCAAAGCTAAGGGATCACTGGGACGAGTTCGTTGCATATAAGACAGGTGAACAAGGGCAGGCGATGATGGAAAGAAACAAAGAAAATGCCGCCAAGAAGAAGTACCATCACCACTTGGGGTCAGGAGGCTATAGCGTCGCGATGCCGAAGTGGGAGGAGATGGAGGCTAGCTTGATTGAGAGGGGTATCGAACCGGCAACAGCCAATTGGCCGGAACGATCGAAGTTCTGGTACTATGCTCACGGTGGAACGCTCAACCCAGCTGATGGCTCACTGGTCTTCGGCGATCAGATATGAGAGGCTGCACGATGACTAACAGATGCAGTGGAAGCCTCCTCTCAGGGCACGTTCCGACCAGACAGAGATAGGGACGAACTGACACTCGCCCTGCAGACTCCAGAGCATCCAGGACGAACACGAGGGAAAGGGGTGATTCCTTGGAAGATTGGTTTCAAGGAGGACATCCACACGTACAGGAGTCGGATGAGGAGCAAGAGAGATACCGAGGCGAAGATTGCAGACCTAGAGTTCCGGGTATCGAGCTACGAACTCAACATGCAAGAGGAGGTGGCAAGGAAGGTTGATGAACGCATGTCCGCACATCGGTCCCATGATCCCCAGCCGACCATTCCTCCTGCAATGGTGAGCCCGTCAGGAAACCGTAGCAGCTGCGCCTCAACGGGGCAGGTAGGATCACAGAGCATGGACGCCATGCAAACACAGGACGAATCGACATGTCCCGTTGATGACATCACTCAGCGGACACCATGTGAGCTGCATATTCCTTTCAAGAACTTATCAATAAAGGTAAGATTTAGCCATTCCGCTAGTTGCTGCTTATATATGTTGATTACTAATAAATAATCTCTCACAACATGAAGGTGGCGTCGGGCATGGCCATCCCAACGGACCCTTCAGGTACTTACCACTGCAGGCCGATTCCAGCAGGATACTCGAAGGTCGAAGTTGAGTTGGTCGAAGGCGCGTACGAGGACCTCGAGCTGGATTACCCTGGAGGAGACGGTGAGACGCATCTACGAGACACAAGCCATGCCATTATTCTATGGCGCAGGCGGTACATCATCCTCCCTGGGCGACAAGCGGCGTCTCGTGCACCATCTCCTCCGGCTCCGCCATCTCCTCCTCAGGATCCTGCACCGTCTCCTCCTCATGCTCCGCCAGCACCGTCTCCACCTCAGGCTCCAGCATCGACTCCTCCTCAGGATCCTGCACCGACTCCTCCTCGTGCTCCTACACCTACTCCCCCGCAAGCTCCTCTTCCGGCACCTTCAAAGTCAAGGGCCCCCCCAGCTCCACCGCCTGCCCACACAAGGGCAACGAAGAAGGCGAAAGTTGACGCCGCCAAGAACAAGGACCCGGGGTACGATTGCACGCAAGAGGAGCTTGACGCTTACGTTGCATCAGAAGTCAAGAGACAATTCAAGCCTCGAAGTCCAGAAAAGAAGATTCCTATAGACCCCAGTGTCAGGAACTTCTTCAGGGGTATGTCTGCATCTGTCAAGGAGGCCATCAAGCTATCGGACTATGAGCGAACGCTGAAGAAAGCATCTTCTGGAAAGTCCAAACCAGTCCCTCAGCTTGGAGAGCAACCAAACCAGGAGATCGAGCCGTTGGTTACCGGTAAAGAAATGACGATAGAACAATTTATTACTGACACCGGTCTAACTACGGATCAATTGCTAGGAGTTGCACCAATCGAAAAGGCGGAAGTGAAATACATGTACGAACTCGGTAAACCGCTTGTCAAGCCTGAGCTGCTGCAGTCCCTACCCACACAAATGTACAAGTTCCATCAGCTGTACATGGAGATGAGCGCCGCCGGTAGAGAGATGATCGGAGCGAGGATCAGGGACACGGACTTCTTGCAAGGAGATGACATTCTCTGGATCAATTTCAAGGGAATCTACGAACTATACCAGCTGGACGCCCTCGACGTCTCTATTATGAGTTGCTGGATTTTGTAAGTATATCGTTCGGTTAGATTTCTTACTATACGTCTCCTTTAATAAATTAGGTCCTTGTATATAAGTAGACTATAGAAAATAATATACTCCCTTTTATCGTTGTAGAATGGAGATTCAAAGGGCCCGACGGCGGAGGGTTTTCGATACTGGATTCATCGACCCTCGGAGAGTAAACGTCGCAATGCTCGACCAATATCCACAAGAAACAGAGGACAATCTCGTCCATCTCCTGAAGGCGCAGCATTACAAGACGTTCATACTGTTGCCATACAACACAGAGTTAGTTTAATTTTACTGTCTTCCTACATACCAAATTTCATTCCCGTACGAACTTGCTAAGTGTTTCATATGTAATGCATCCCACGCACATTGCAGATTCCACTGGGTGCTTTTACTCTTCGACCTGGAGGCCTGCACCGTCAACGTATATGACTCAATGGATAAAAAAGAGTCTACGTTTGACAAGGTTTTCGAACTTATAGACAGGTACCGTCATAAGTTCCTTTGTTAATTAAGAAAATCTTGTTATGTTAATTGCTACTACGAATCATAGCTTTAAACTCCATGTAGGGCTTGGTATCGGTTCCGTCATTTGGTCCGCGGCAAATGGAGAGAAAGACTTAGGCGGAAGTTCAAATTTCCTGTGAGTACACATGCTCTACATTTATATTTCTCCGATTCAAATACATACAAGTGTATATTAATTAGATCTCTCGTTGTTTGTCATTTATTTGTAGTGCGCAAAGCAAAAGCAGGGAAATAACTTGTGCGGCTATTACGTGTGCGAGTATTGCCACTGCCTTGCAAACCAAATCATCACCACAAGAGAGCTCGATGTACGTACAAATAAATTCAAAATTTCATTACGTAGCGATTTCTTGTTTAATTACTAATCAATTTCATACATTCATATAGTTTATTCGCATGAGGGATAACCTGACCACACACAAGGAATTTATCACGGCGGTTCAAGAACAACTCATGGGATTCATCAACGAAGAAATCCTTAATCCTAAGGGTGAATTCTACTACGACGGAAACACAATTCACCGGTCCTTAGCTTCTGAGCTAGCAGCGAGTACTACTACGTCGAAATGATAGCTAGCTAGCTAGGACATATAATGGATTGTAATTAATACATGACTACATATGTTTCTATATGCATGTGTACACATTTTCTATAATGTAAATATATTTTGGTCATATATATATCTATATACATATGCATTTGCATAACATATATATGTATAAATACATATATATTATGCATGTATATACATATAATATAATATAATATATATATATATATATAAACCATGCAGCAACAGGGCCATGCAAAAAAAAAAAAGGTCAGCTCGATCTTTAGTCCCGGTTGGTAACACCAACCGGGACTAAGGATGCTCAGCCGGCCACGTGGCTGAGCCATCTTTAGTCCCGGTTGGTGTTACCAACCGGGACTAAAGATCGATCTTTACTCCCGGTTATTTCACCCGGGACTAAAGATAGCGATCTTTAGTCCCGGATTGGTACTCCCGGTTTGGAAACCGGGACTAAAGGGGGGTTACAAACCGGGACTACAAAGGGTTTCTCCACCAGTGATAGCTATCTTCACAGCTTGCACACAAATTTTGCTTCATCGTGATCATCCTAATTGAACACAAGTTTCTTGATCTGACGGAGAATACGTTTTATCATTGGTCAGCAGGTAGCTAGCTGACATGAGTTGCACACTTGCATAGTTTACAGGACCCTGATAATGCATGACTTGCTGGTCTGAATTATATAGTTGTTCAATTCGATCCCCTTACAGACTTGCAGGCAGCTGGAAGCCTGGACTCGAATCATATCAATGTTCGTCAACCATCAACAAGGAAAAAAAGGACTTCGCACTAGTGCCATGTTTCACACCTTACAAGCTAGGAATTAACAATCGTCCTATGATCAGGGAAAAAATGTTACATCTTCATACAATTTTCATCAGCAATATGAGTTTCTGTTCGACGTGAGACACAGAATACGCGTGAGTGTGAGATTGTGTACTGGCCAGGTGCATGCGATTTAATGCCCTACTCCTTTATTTCATATTATAAATAGCTTTGATTTTTTTTCTAGTCAAATTTCTTGAAGTATGATCAAGTTTATAGGAAAATTTAGTAACATCTACAACACGAAATTAGTTTCATTCAAACTAACATTTAATATATGTTGATAATATGTTTGTTTTATGTCGAAAATATTACTAAATGTTTCTATAAAGTTGAACAAATTTAAAGAAGTGTAAATAGGAAAAAAGTCAAAACGACTTATAATATGAAATGGAAGAAGTAGTTGACATCGTTGCTTTTGTCTTTAACGAGTAACTTTATATGTTTTACAATGTGTACAGTTGGTCCAGTAGACATTAAAAATGATAAACACATATTTTGTAACACTAGACTCTCCATCAAGCAGAAGCAACATTAAAAAAAGTGTACAACAGCAATAAGCAACTGTCTGATATGGATACACTACACACAAGGTGCACACATTGTCAAACGTTGTCAGCTGATCCTGATGACCATGAGGCCGGTCGAGCTACTTCCAGCGTCGATCTAGACGACTGCGAGGTCGAGGAGGAGCTACGTACCTCCGTCGTTGCCCTGCCCTCCGATCCCTTCCTGTCACGGAGAGACAGGAACACATAGATGGCTACATAAGCCAGCACCATGACGGCCATGGCGACGACGTACCCGGAGGTGCCCCAGTCCCTGCTGCTGCCTGCCGCGTACGCCACCAGGAGGCCGAGCAGGTCGAGCACGACCACCATGTGCATTGGCCCGAACCGGTCAGGGTCATTGAGCTCTGGGAGGATCAAGGTCCCTTGCAGGAGGAGAACGATGGCCACGATGGATGCCGAGAAGGATGTGGAGTTGCTGTAGAAGAAGGCGTGGTACCGGCGGCCGTCGGTGTCCCCCAGGATGGGGTTCCCCGCTGCGTGCCCTTTGCCGTCGTTCGTCGGCCACACGCTCCCTGGCGGCACTAGGCCGGCCTGGTACGTGACGCTCGCTGCCAGGATCCCCAGTAGCGTCAGATACTTGCGCATCTTGTACTTCTCTTTGTACTCATCAGTGGTCTCTTCATCATGATTATTGGTGCACTTCTTTCCTGTCGAACCTTTAGACCCCGTTGCCTGATCATGATTCTTAGTGACCTCGTCTTGCTTCTTGGAAGAGAAGAAGGAAAGACAACCAATGAGTATTTTATGGAAAAATTTGATGTGTAGAGCGGCGAAAATAAGCACCGCGCCGACCAAGGCGAAGACGTAGATGGACGTCCGCAGCCTTCGGGTGGTTCCGGCAGCGTAGGCACCCATCAATCCGACCAAGCCTGCAGCCATGCAGGCATAGAGTGCGTTGCAGTAGCCTACGGCGATGCTGGAGAGGTTCCGACTCATCAAGCAAACTATGGCAATGACAGATGCCATGAAGCTCGTCGCGTTGCAATAGAAGAATGCCTTGTATCGGAGAGGGTAATTGTCCGCGAGAATCGAGTCACCGTAGCGGTGGTCTTCATCGGTGTGCTCGATCCAGAAGCCTCCTGGCGGGGTCAACCCAGCTTGGTAGGTGATGGTGACGGCTAGAATTGCAAGAAGCAGCAATAGTTTCTGCTTCTTCTCCAGCTTGCTTTTCTCCTCCAACTTACCCTTTTTGTCATGTGGAAGCTTGCTAATCACAACGTAGATTGCCACCACCAACACAAAGATGGCCACAGCCAATGAAAAGACATAGATGGAGGTGCGCACGTCTCGGCAGCTCCCAGCAGAGTATGCGCCGATCAGGCCAAAGAGGTCGAGTATCACAGCTGCCTCGAGTGCACGCCGGCCGATCAGAGACCTACTCTGGACCATGATGATGACGATGATGGATGCTACGAAGGCAGCTGAGTTGCAATAAAAGAACACCTTGTACCGCTTAGCATGGGTTGCGGGGAGTATCAAACCCCCACCACTATGGCCATTGTCGTCGTCTCTCCAGACTCCACCGGGCGGGTCTAGGCCGGCCTGGTATGTTACGGTTGTGATGAGAGTGGCCAGCAGAAGTATCAGTGACCGTGCCCTCTCAACGGGATCTGTGCTGTCTTCACGGTTTTTGGAGGCCGGATTACGTCTGGATCCTGTTGCTATAGATGGCTCAGTGGGTTGCTCGCCCTGACACGGCCCAGGCATGACCGGGTCTGGGCCGAGGTCAGTCGGGCTAGCACAGTCCGACCTACACGCCGGGCAGGGCCGGGCCGTTGCTGTCATCCAGCCGCAACAACCATGTGTTTGTGCTTGCGGTTTAGTTTTTTTGGATAAAAACTTGATCACAGCAAGGCAAGAAATGTATAGGAGGACAGCGCCGATCAGGCAGAGGACGTACACGGTGGTCTCCGTCTCCCTGCAGCTGCCGGATGCGTAGGCGCCCATGAGACCAAGCAGCGCGAAGGCGATGGCCACGTTCAGCGCCGATAGCCTTCTCCCGTTGTTGCCCATGCTGGTGCTCAGGAGCAACATGATGACAGTGAGCGACGCGACGAACGCGACGGTGTTCAAGACGAAGAACGCCACGAAGCGCCAGTAGTGGCCCTCCTGCAGGACGGGGTCACCGGCGCGGTGGTGGCCACCGGCGGCGGCGGCGGCGCCACCCTCCTCGGCAGCATGCTCCCATGTGCCACCCGGAGGGCTCAAACCTGCCGTGTACGTGATCGTCACCATGAAGATGGAGAGCAGCATCAAGACCTTGCGCCGCTCTTTGGGGCGGAGCTTGCCATCCTCCACGGCCTCCTTCATGTCAAGCGGGTTACTTGAGCAACCATGGAGATGGCCATCCTCCATGTCCATGGCCTTCTCCTTGTCAGGTGAGTCGTGCACTGTCTTCTTCTCAGGCGTGTCGGTAGAAGGGGCGACCAGCGCATGAACCACGATGTAGACGAAGATGGTTGCCGAAAGCACCGAGGCGAAGATGGTGGTGAGCCTGCCCCGGCAGCTCCCGGCGATGTAGGCCACCATGAGGCAGAGCAGATCGACCACCATGACCCCTCGCACCGCCATGAGCCGGGGCCCCTCCACGCGGAACGGGAGGAGGAGGATGGTGAGCACGAGCGACGCCACGAACGCCGTCGCGTTGAAGTAGTAGAACAGGTCGTACCGGAGGCGGCGGGTGTCCGGCAGGATGGGGTCGCCGGTGAGGTGTTCGTCCGTGGTCTCCAGCCAGACGCCCCCCGGCGGGTCGAGCCCCGCGATGTAGGTCACCGTCGCCACCAGGATGGCGAGCAGCAGGAGGTACTTGCGCAGCTGCCACTCCCGCGATTTGGGGTGGCTCGCCACCGTCGCCTTCCCACCACCACCCGGCTGCTGCTTGTTGTCGTCGGCGTCGGGCTCCATTTGCACGGTGCAAACTGTCTCAGCTACGGGAGCTGAAGTCGCCTGTATTGTGTGATCCTGATTAGTGGTGTGCAAATGCTGTTATTGCAGATGATGATGATGCTGTGTATATATATATATATATATATATAGTGTAGCTGCGTTTGCAAGTCAAGTCGCGGCTAAGAAAATAAAATGTGGTGGTCAGGTCGCGTCGTTGTTTAAGCTGCTTCTCGGTGCTCAACCAGCCCTTCCATTTCCCAACCTCCGTGTTGATAGTCTGACAGTCACATGTGAATGCAGAGTGCACGCCATGGATGACCTGACATGGTGCCAAGTCAAGCTGATTTAAAAGTGAAGGTATAATAGTGCACGAATATGGGAATCAATGCTACGATGAATTGGAAATCCATTTAAGTACTAGCAGTAGTTATGGCCAGTTTGTGGGATATTGTGTGTTATGATATGCTACATTAATGGCAAAATTTGCTACGGAGCATCCAAAAAACATGTAATTAGCTGGTGGACATCGCAAGAACACAAATTTGCTATTGGGCAAAAAAAAAAACTGGTAATTAGCTGATAAACACTCATGGTTATATTTTATTATTTCAAGAGGAGCGAAACTGATGTGGAGTACGATTCTGTCCCTGCGCAGCTTCAATCGATGAGGTCGGCAGCAGGACGGTGGCAGGTGGCAACGGCCGGCAGGCAGCAGGACGATGGCATCGATAGCAGCTCCTCCGCGTCGCCTCCGTCCGCCACCTCTACCTTGTCCTCTAGAGGTTGTTCCCCGACACCGAACACCTCTGCCCTGGCGTCAATGTCTTCCCCAACCTCGTCAAGCTCGGCATCTGCTACACCTGAGCCATCATTGCGGAGCAGATCCGTGCACCGCGCATGAGGTCCATGTCGCCGCTCGGCGGCACGTCCTCGTGGCTCAAGCTGCTCGATGTGCTCGTCCCCGCCCCGGATCTTGCTTGGCTCCCTTGCACTCGGCTGGGTCGGAAGAGCTAGCCGCGAGAGCATCGCATGAGGACCCTTGACGCCGCCCAAGTCGCTTGAGCTCCCCCGCCACCGCCCTTTTGCCAGTCGCTGCCGTCCCACTGCCAGCCTCGTTGAACTAGAGGAAGATCTAGGGAAGAAGATAAGTCTTTCAGGTGGGTCCCACATAGCAAGTTTGACCAAGGGCAAACTTGTCTTTAATGAGTGTTTCTCTCTTTAATTCCTCTGGAAATAATAAAATAACGTCGTGGGTGTCTATCAGCTAATTACCAGTTTTTTTGTGCTCGATAGCAAATTCGCGTTCTTCCGATGTCCACCAACTAGTTGCACGTTTTTTATGCTCTGTAGCAAATTTTGCCTACATTAATTGTTGAATGAAGTAAATTTGACCAATATTTTTATTTATTCCACTTGTGTTAAAAAAAGAAGCATGCGGACACTTATATAAATTGGGCCGAGCATTGCATGTGTTAACACTATATGTCAAACAAGCTATACTTTTTGGTACACATCTCTCCTTTTTCATATTATTCATTGTGCTTTAGATCGATAAATAAATTATCTGCTTTGGTGGTCTTAGATTATATAAATACCAAAAAAAATGCATGTGCATTGCAATAAGTGAAGATAATTTTCATGATTGATAAAAGTGTAAAGTGCACAGACGGTTTTTAAACTTGTTTAGATGTGTCATCTCAGTTTCTAGACTCTCAAAATACATGTTTTAGTCCTCGAACTTGTCATGAGTGTCATATAAGTCCCAAACGGGCTCCAATATTTTTAGGTGAAGATAAAGAAGGTAGTCAAAAATGTTATTTTAAAGAGAACTGAGAAGGTTTACAGTGTGTTCAGAACTACAGGTTTCTAACTTCTACTCATTCGTTTTTCACGCCTATGCTTCTCAACCTAATAAATAGTGTATTTTCTAAAAGAACATTCTATATAAAAATTGCTTTTAAAAATCACATTAATCTATTTATTTCAGTTTTTATAGGTATACTTAATTAATTATGCAGTAATGAGCCACCCTGTTTTATATGCGCGAAAGAGAAGTTTCCAACTTCTCACCTGAACACAGCCTAAAGAGTATTTTTGTTTTATTTTCATGTTAGGGCCCTAAGGGAACATAATGGAAGACTTAGATGGCAAAGTCATCCTTGAAAGGTTACATGTTGTGGCAACTTTGGGTAATTGGGTTGTTGGCCTTCAGGTCTTTGTCCCCGTGTCCTTTTTTTTTCTTTTTTAGCAAATGACCATCTGTATCAGTGTATTTTTAATAATAGAATAGAATCTTGGCCTTTGCTCAGAGAGTTTCAGCTAATTATTACAATAATTGTTCAAAACATATCACATCTCAACAATTCATAAAGAACACAAATGATAGAGGTACACACCAAACCACTAACACCAACTGAAGAGATAAACCACATACTTATTGAATTATATTTGCAAATCTCAAGCCGAAGTTGACGAAAAGTTAGTGTTGGTAAAAAAAAAACCCCTTCTCTAAAAAAAATGCAAACGTACTTTCTCCTCACTATTGTTCCCTCCTTGTGATCGCTGCGTGAGTAAGGGGTGTCTTCATTTGATAGGAGGATGCTAGGGTCAATCGTCACCGTGAAAGGGGGTTGCCCATCCAACTGATCGTAATCCTCGTCAGTCTTGTCCTCAACTCCGACGATTTTTCTTTTGCCTGGGAGAACCACTTGACGCTTAGGCTCATCAGGCCCTCTGCCCTTCTTTCCTTTGCTAGACATGTCCTTCACGAAAAAGACTTGCGTTACATCATTGGCAAGGACAAAAGGTTCGTCTGAGTATCCAACCTTGTTAAGGTCAACAGTTGTCATCCCACTGTCATCAATCATTACGCCTCCACCAGTCAACCTAACCCATTGGCACCGGAACAGAGGAACCTTGAGAGGACCATAGTCAAGTTCCCATATGTCCTCGATGGCACCGTAATACGTGGCAGTTGTTCCATCGTGTCCCATGGCATCGACACGAACAGCGCTGTTTTGGTTCGTGCTCTTCATGTCTTGGGCTCTCGTGTAGAATGTGTACCCATTGATCTCATATCCCTGGAATGTCGTGATCGACCCAGACGGTCCCCTCGCCAGGAAGGCAAGTTGTTGGTTGATTGACTCGTTACCCATGAGATGTTGTCGTAGCCACGCGGGGAAAGTATCAATGTGATGCCGTGTAATCCATGCATCGGACTTACCGATGTTCCTGGCGCGAACTAGAGCCAAGTGCTCCTCGATGTAAGGAGCTACCAATGAAGAGTGTTGCAGAACAGTGAAATGGGCTTTACGGAATAAATTGTTGTCTACCGTCGTTATTGCTTTCCTTCCGAGAGTTCCCTTTCCCCATAGTCTCCCTTCATGGCGTGATTCAGGTACCCCGATTGGGCGAAGGTCTTCGATAAATTCTACGCAAAATTCGATGACCTCCTCTGTTCCATAACCCTTGGCGATGCTTGCCTCTGGACGAGCACGGTTACGAACATACTTCTTCAGAACGCCCATGTACCTCTCGAAAGGAAACATGTTGTGTAGGTACATAGGCCCGAGAATACGGATCTCTTTCACAAGGTGACAAAGCAGATGCGTCATTATATTGAAAAATGAAGGTGGAAATATCAACTCAAAACTGACGAGACATTGCACCACTTCATTCTGAAGGGCTTCTAATCTATCCGGATCGATGACCTTCTGCGAAATTGCGTTCATGAATGCACATAGCTTTGTTATTGTTGCCCGGACATTGTCTGGAAGGATACCCCTTATTACAACTGGTAGCAGTTGTGTCATCAACACGTGATAGTCATGAGACTTTAGGTTTGTGAACTTCTTCTCCTTCGTGCTTATTATTCGCTTGATATTCGTGGAGTATCCAGACGGTACCTTTATGCTCTCCAAGCATTCAAACATACTTTCCTTCTCTGCCTTGCTAAGAGTGTAGCTGGCTGGACTCAAGTAATGGCTTCCTTTCTCCTTTGGTTCCGGGTGAAGGTCGCCGCGTTGTTCCATATGCTTCAGATCATTACGTGCTTCCAGTGTATCTTTCGACTTTCCGTATACACCTAGGAAGCCAAGAAGGTTTACGCAAAGGTTCTTAGTGAGGTGCATCACGTCGATTGCGTGGCGTACGTCCAAGAATTCCCAATATGGTAACTCCCAAAATATAGAGTTCTTTTTCCACATCGCCGCGTGACCATCTTCGCTCTCTATATGCTGGCTTCCAGGCCCCTTTCCGAACACTACTTTAAGATCTTTAACCATAGCAAACACTGTTTTCCCGCTGCGATGTTTAGGCTTCGTACGGTGGTCGGCCTTATGTTCGAAGTGCTTGCCTTTCTTCCGTACCGGGTGGTTTGCTGCAAGGAATCGACGATGACCCATGTATACAACCTTCCTACAGTGCTTAAGATACGTACTTTCTGTTTCATCCATACAGTGAGTGCAAGCCTTGTACCCCTTGTTGTACTGTCCGGATAGGTTGCTAAGTGCAGGCCAATCGTTGATGGTTACGAACAGCAGCGCTCGTAGGTTAAACTCCTCCTGTTTGTCCTCGTCCCACACGGGGACACCTTCCTTCTTCCACAACTGTTTAAGATCTTCTACCAGTGGTCTTAGGTACACGTCGATGTCGTTACCAGGTTGCTTGGGGCCTTGAATAATAATCGGCATCATTATGTACTTCCTCTTCATGCATAGCCAGGGGGGGAGGTTGTAGATACACATCGTAACGGGCCAAGTGCTATGGCCGCTGCTCATCTCTCCAAAAGGATTCATGCCATCCGTACTCAAACCAAACCGTATGTTTCGTGCATCCTTTCCAAATTCTTTAAATTTTCTGTCGATGTTTCGCCACTGCGAACCATCGGCGGGGTGTCTCAGCATCCCGTCCTGTTGACGCTCTTCAGCGTGCCATCGCAACATTCTAGCATTCCCCTTGTTCCTGAACAAACGCCTTAGCCGTGGTATTATAGGGAAATACCACATCACCTTAGCAGGAATTCTCTTCTTTGTTAGCTGCCCGTCAACTTCTCCTGGATCGTCCCGTCTAATCTTGTATCGTAGTGCTTTGCAAACAGGGCATGCTTCTAGGTTCTCATACTCCTCACCGCGATATAGGATACAATCGTTCGGACATGCGTGAATCTTATGAACTTCCAGTCCTAACGGGCAGACTATCTTCTTAGCCTCGTACGTTGTCTCGGGCAATTTGTTTCCCCCCGGAAGAATGTTCTTGACGAGTTTCAATAAATCGCCAAATGCCTTGTCACTAACCCCATTTTTTGCCTTCCATTGCAACAACTCCAGAGTGGTATCCAACTTTTTGTGCCCCTGCTCGCAACCTGGGTACAACGAAGTTCTGTGGTCCTCCAACATCTTGTCCAATTTATGGGCCTCCTTTTCACTTTCGCAGTCCTCCCTGGCGTCCTGCAACATCTGACCAAGATCATCCGCAACGTCGTTACCATCAGCAGCTATTTCCTCCTCCCCCGTTTGATTTCCTTCAAATCCAACATACTGAGCAAAGTCCGGAATATTGTCGTCTTCCACTTCATCTTCTTCCATTTCAACACCTTGCTCTCCGTGGGATGTCCAACAATTATAGCTTGGCATGAACCCCGACTCAAACAAGTGGAAATGAATAGTCCTGGATGCAGAATACTCCTTCTGATTCTTACACTTATTGCATGGACAACAAATAAAACCCCTTTGCCTGTTAGCTTCGGCCACTCTCAAAAAATAGTGCACGCCGTCAATAAACTCTTTGGACCGCCGGTCAGCGTACATCCATTGCCGATCCATCTACATGAGTCAAAAAAACCGTACACAAATAATTATTCTTACAATAATGACAGTCATACAATAATTATAAGATATCTTTATTCATACAAAAATCATAAAATATTACACCAAATAATTCTTAAAAACTATTTGTAAAGTTTTAAACTAATTTTAATGTGTTTTACTTCTTTTAATTTTCATTTTAGTTTGTTTTCTATTATTTAAGATTAACTTTCACTAGAGTTTTCCTTCTCAACTATTTTATAAAACCTTGTTTAGCAAATGAACTAAATTTCTATATATTCTTTCTTCCCCACACACATTTTCTCTCTCATCAACTTACAACTAAATTTTGGAGACAAAAAAAGTGTGCAAAACATAGGTGCAAATGTAGTATGACAAAAAAAAACATTGGAGGATGAAGTTGCAAACCTTTTAGGCACCTCCGATTTGTATGTAATCACCAAAATAAATTCAATAGAAATTTTGGCATGACCTCCCCTCTTTTTTGAAGAAATTTTGAAGCTTGCTCGGGCAGCTGGAGGAGGAAGAAGACATATATATAGGGGTGGGACTTTAGTCCCGGTTGGTAGCACCAACCGGGGCTAAAGATCACCGGGATCTTTAGTCCCGGTTGGTATTACCAACCGGGACTAAAGTTACGATCTTTAGTCCCGGTTTGTGTTACCAACCGGGACTAAAGATCCCGGGGGGGCCTGACAGGCCCTGACAGCATTCGACCCGGGACTAAAGATGATCTTTAGTCCCGGTTGGTAACACAAACCGGGACTAAAGATCAAATATGCCCGTTACCCTTTTGAACCGGGACTAAAGATCATCTTTAGCCCCGGTTTTTATTGCATCCGGGACTATTGTGGAAATCGGCCGACCGACGAAAGATGGTTTCTCCACCAGTGTATATGACTATCTATTGAGTGGACCAAGCTCAATCTTTGTGGTCGCTTGGTGAGGTTGAGCATTGAACGCAACCTGGCTCTTAGAAATCCCTCAACGGAGACTACTTATGACTTATCTATTATCTACTTTACCGCTATTACTTGTTTTCGCCTAATTCATGCTAATGGTTGTTTAAGCTTGTATCAAAGTTGCTTTGTAGGTTCCTCTGCATGCTTGCTAAGTTGTGGTTCAACTCGTTTTTGAGTCAAGAGCTTGCTCTTTCTAAGTGTAATTTTCGCTCCTTGCTTGGAACGAAGACTTCAGTGAATTGGCCCAAACTTCTAAACTAGACTAGAAGTTCTAGAACATAAACTAGAAGCTCCGGTCTTTACTAGTCCATTGTGAAAATTTGATAAAATTTTCAAGTATCACCTATTCAACCCCCTCCCCCCTCCCCTCTAGGTTCTAGGCTACATCAAATAACATTTAGGCCTGATGTCACCATCGAATGTGCTTGTGCCCGTATCCCTTGACCTTGTCTCCTTTTCCAGCCAACCCTCCATCCCCTTATCTCCCTCTATGTCGCTAGGTCAGATCCTCTAGCCATGCCGCGCCACCCTAGCTCCTCGACCCTGGCTGTCAAGCAAGCGGTGTGGCCCCTAGCCGCTTCTTCCACCGGAAGGACTTTGTCATCTCGATTGCCGCCACCCTCATGCACCATATCAAGCTCGTGCTAGCTTCTCTAGAGCAGGAGGAACATCGGCAAGCACACACAACGAGGCCTTAGTGAGCAGGAGCTAGGAAGACGATGAGGAAGAAGAGGAGGGATTTGAGTATTACATGAAAGTTTTTATTTTTGAATGGAAAGTTTTGTGATGTCTAGGATGAAAGTTTTAGATTTGTATAGAATTTTTTTTTATTTTGAGATGAAAATTCTAAATTTGAATCAAATTTTTTTGTGAATTTTGAGATGAAGAGATCTTGGATCTTCAATTCAAAGGTTTGTGATTTTGAAATAGAAAGTTTTAGATATATGAAAGGATGTTTTACAATTTTGAGATGAATGTTTTGATTTGTTTGAGTTAGAAGTTTCTGATTTTTGAGATAACACGCAATTTGAAAGCGTTGAATACATGGAGATTCCTGGATTGGAGTCCAACTCGTTGGCACAGCCAGGGGCGGAGGTAGTATATGTTAGGAGGGTGTCCAAGAACCCGGTCAAGAAAACTTTTTAGCTATACCTCATCTATTTTCACCATGTATGCACCCCCTCAATACAAACTTAGGCACCCGTATCAGCTTAAACTCAATCTAAAGTAGAGTAAATTAAGCAAGTGGCACCACCCTCTGTTTCGCTCTAGCTCCGCCCCTGGGAACAGCCGAGAGATGCCATGTGAAACAGAACCAGAGAGGGAGCACCTGCGTGTGCGATTTGCATCCCTAGCCCAGCTGCACCAAAGCTTAACCTTATGCAATGCAGTTACTCTTGAAAGTATAGGCATCTCTAAAGCCCCCCTCTGGTATTGTAAACTACTAGTGATGGCAATCTTCCTCGCGAGGCCGGGGGTGGGTGACAATTCAGCCCCAAAGCTCAACTTGATGAAATACTGGGGTATATAAGCAAAAATCTAACTAGCTAACCCTTACTTATCCTCTCCCAAGACCCCCCACAGCCCCATGCAGCCACACACAGGTGGAGGTGGCACACTCTCTCCGGATCTTGTCTCTCTCTGACTCTCTCGCCGGCTTCGTTCTCTTTCTGCCTATCACCGGTCGCCCACTCCCCTCCAGCCTCCCGTCCTCTCCACTCTCCCCTCTCCCTCCGGCGGCACGCAAGGCGATGCACGGGCCGGCGCACAGGATGATGGAATGATGGATCATGGAAATATTTATGTAATTGTGTTCTTACTGAATTTTTTAGGATGCTATTCAAATATTCATGCCATTTTTTATGATGTGTCAATTATATAAAATATTTGTTTTTGCTGAATTGATGATTGTCTTGTATTTTTTGTACTGATTGAATGGAGTGGCAACTCAATGCTGGGTCCCGGTCGAGTTGCGAAGCCCTAGAGGGGTCATGGACGAGACCTGATTCGGCCCTGCATCTCCACTCGGGGCCAGGGCAATGGAGAAGTTGGGGGTTGGGGACGGGGCCGTTCCAGCCCAACCCGCCCTGACCCATCCTGTTGCCATCCCTAAGCTACATGCACTGGTGGAGAGATCGTTTTTAGTCCCGGTTCGTAACCCCCTATAGTCCCGGTTTTTAAACCGGGACTACGAATCCGGGACTAAAGATCCGGTTCAAATATCTTTAGTCCCGGTTAGTGTTAGATGGGAGCGGCAGTCCCGGTTAGTTTTTTTTCATTTATTGCTAATTACTACTTAATCTCTAATTTATTTTCTCCCAAATTAGGTGGGATGCATATCCTCAAATCAAAGTAACATCCCAAATACACAAATCAATCATATACACCATAGATTATACATCCCAAATACACAAATCAATTATATACACCACGGATTATACATCCCAAATCAAAGAAACATCCCAAATACACAAATCATATACATCACAAATTCTTCATCTCAATCTATACATGGATCACAAATTCTTATAAAAAGAAAAAAGAAACAAAGCAAAGCCGCCGGCTGGCTCAGCCGCTGCCGCCTCCCCTCCTCCCCGGCCGCCGTCGCGCCACCGTGCGGCCCTCCGCGCCGCCGCGCCGCCCTCCGGCGTCCGGCCCGCCCTCCTCTGGCTGCATAAACTCATACCCATCCCACATGTAGTTGTTGCCGTGATCTACTCGCATGCAGATTTTTCTCCCTATCCTTCGGCGCAACTGCATGGTGGTGCAGTTAATCTCAGCGTGCATAACTGAAAGAGAAGAGAAGAGATAAGGAGGAACTGCTGCGCAGACTGAAAGAGAAGAGAAGAGGAAGAGATAAGGATTAGAGATGAAGGGGTAGAGGAGCTTGTGTGGACGGGAATAGAGGATAAGTAATAGGGATTATATAGTGCGTTTTGATCAACCGGGACTAAAGATCATCGATAATACAAACCGGGATTAAAGATCCGATCTTTACTCCCGGTTGGAGTTACCAACCGGTACTAAAGATCCAGGAGGGCCCTAACAACCCCTAATCAGTATGTAAACCAGGACTAAAGATGTTATCAACCGGGACTAAAGATCACGTAGTCCCGTTCTGCTTATAAACCGGGACTAAAAACCATTATTAGTCCTGTTTTTATTGCAACCGGGACTATTGTGATTTTTGGTTGACCGGACAAAGATGGTTCCTCCCCTAGTGATGCAACTGGCCAGTACACAATTACTTTCATGCATATATATAATCTGTCTCAAGACAAACATAAATTCATACTGATTTAGAAAATTGCATTCGTTTGCCAGATCACAGTACGCTTTTTTTTAATTCCTAATAAGGAGTGAAATCACACTACGCTTTTTTTAATTCCTAATGAGTGAAACATGGCCACATTTTCAGTTGACCTGTGGTAGCGTGAAGCCTATTTTTTATTGATTGCCAACGAACAAGGCTAAACCGCTAAACATGCTCAGCTAGTCTAGCAGAGGAACTGAACGACATAATAACTGAGACCAGCAAGTCATGAGTTATCCCGGTCCTGTAAACTGTACAAGTGTCCAACTCAGGCCAACTACTTGGTGGTGACCAATAAAACATATCTCCACCAGATTAAGAAACTTTGTTCAGTTAGGATGATTATAATGAAGCAAAATTTATATTTTAGTTATATCTATCTGACAGCAGTGAACCATATGAATCTTGAGGTTGAGTTGCAATAATCTTCATATGAGCACAGAGAAAATGAAGCCTAAGCAAATTGTCATCACTGATACACAGGATAAAGACATGACACGAGCACATAATTTGGAAGCATCACCAGAGACTAGAACCTTCTGTCAAAGTGGCTACCACAGAAACGGCCTCTGAAAATGAAATTATTCATTTCACAAACATAATTTTTTTTTGGTTACTGCGTGAATCCAGTGCACATGGCTGGGTCCCCATGACAATGATATGCTATGCATTTTACGTCGTTTTAAGAGAATCAACTCGTGTAAAACAATTGAGGTAGCTGCTGTCCCAAGTGACAAAAATGCAGTGCTAGAAGATAACTACAATAACACTATTGACCATTTCTGGGGAGATTCTGATAGCTATAACCAGTGTTCACAATCGAACTGGCCTCTAAAACCGCTCCTGAGTGGTACTTCCTGTTTTTGAGAAAACCGTTGATTACCTATAAAATTTGACCAAATTTTGTTAAAAACTGAAAATTCAGTCTGAACTATTTTGAATTCGGTTGGTTTACAGAACCGGTTATGATCTTCAGCCAGCTCAAAACCACCGGTTTCCACGAAAATCGAGCGGTTTTCAAAAATTGTCTCCAGGACTGAACTTAACGAGAAGCTAGGTAACAACTACTTATCCAGAACTGTTATTTAGTGAAACAAAAGATAAGCTAACTCATATTGCTTGGAGCAACGTGTCCGAGTAATTTCTCTGCAAAGAAACAACTCTTTCTTCACTCTCTCTTCTACACCTTACTATGTAGGAGTAATACTTAGAAAGGGCTAATTTATTGCCTTTTCCATGCCAGCTAGGCAGCTACCGTGGGATATGCATGCTGATAGCTGATATAGACGAGTAATACTATTTCATTGTACTCCATATGAACACCAAGCTTTTTAGTACTATAACCCCCCCCCCCCCCCTCATGGTATCCTATTTGATTTTGCAAATATTGCCGAATAAGAAAAGGACACTTTTATTTTCCAAGGAAAAGTGTACAGAGATATGCCTCTATTATCAAGGGGAAAAGGAGCTAATCCACACGACAGTTTTACCAACCACATCTAGTGAATATATGGTAAGCGGATTCCGGCATTGTCAAAGACCAAAAAGAGTCATTTGTAATTATAAACCAAAAATAAAGACATGTCCCATCATGAACTCAACTGTGCTGACCTGGCTCACTAATAATGCAACATTATAGTACTTGCAGTTTGCGCAACTAAGACATTCCGTTTCCATTTCTCTAACATGAACAGTTGCAGGATTCTATATATTGTAACATTACATAACAAACAGGATTTAATATCTGCCATGATGCATGAATGCGTCAATTCCATTTGCAGGGTCTAGCAATGTAGCTCCTCACATCTTATTTTATTACCTAAAGATTGCATTATCAACTTTCATAGTCAATTGGTTGCCTGTTTGGAGTCTAAATTTCATACATTACCAATTTTATTATTAATATCTATCCTTCATTGTTCGTCGCAAGTGGGGAGGTGCCTAAACTCATCTAACAGCCATCTTGTATCGGATCCTTTCCATTCAATCTTAATGAATCCAACCTAAAGTAATTACTCTGCGCTTCTGTCCTTTATTTATCCTCTTAACTATATTATGAACAGACACCAGTATTTGCCCCAGAAGATTTTTCCAAATCATGTTAAGTAATCCTATATACTGGGACAAATACATTATAAAGTACTAAAAGATGCTTGCACCACTTTACTTTTCTTACTAATTCTAGAGCTTAGATAACATATGGTGTATATAAAGCTCATGGCCACTACATCCAATAGACCAAGACCCAACCTGCAGTACTGTATAATAGTATAATAGTAAGTCTTCCAGTCTGTGCCACTACGGTGACAGCTAGCATGTGACAAAATCAACCAAATGCTTTGGTGAACTTGGATTCTTGTGATACGTTAACATATACAATCAAAATTTACAAGTAAATACAAGACAGGCAAATTGAAATAAATACAGAAGGCAAGCTGGATACGCACCTGAAGTACTTACCTCCATCTACCATGGTCACCATTATCGAAAAGGTGATATGAAGGCATAGCATAAGTGGCCTGTCACTCCCAAGATGGTTAATCCATCAAGATATTTCATCAGACAGCAGGTATGCAGATCCACAGAAAGCATTTCACCAAACATGAACTGTCCTCCAGCGTTCTGTCAAACAGCAACAGGTTGATGCCCAAAAAGGGTATCTAAGTTCAGACAACGACATCCAGCTGTTTCTTGCATATCATACCTGCACATAAGTTGTACAGAGAAATACTGCACACAACATATCTGACACTGGAGTTTAGCGGAGTGACAGCAACGTGCCCACAATATATGACTTATTAGGAGTTGGATAATAGATTCCATGGAGTCATTCCTGGAACATGCATAGGAACAAGTCTTTGTAGTCATGTAAAGTATTGATATGTCCAGCTCACACAGCATGACACAATAAAAACAATAAAAGTCTCTTTCTGCTCTCGTGAACTATGGTAAGCCTCAAATCATTGCACGTTTCTTTCAGACGACAATGCTAGTCAATTTGAAACAGTGGGATGTGAGAACCCCACAAGGAATAAAGAAGATGAGACAGATCAATATAAAAAGACGACTTGGGCAAAGTCTTCCAGTCTACATCTTCATTGATAATGCTAAGCCCATCCATGGCATCACTATTAGGCAAGAGAAGCACAGCTATATACATCATTATGCATAGCAAAGCACCTTATTAGCATTGATCCATTCACAACTTGGAGTACCTCCTTTCTGCTTCTATCTCTCCTGCAAATGGAGAATAGCGAGCAAGAGAGGACGGACTCACCATTGGAGTATGATTTGAGGAAGTACCTCCTTCTGTTGGCCACCCTTGTGGCCACGGTGACATATGGTGCAGGATTCAGCCCGCCGGGGGGTGTCTGGCAGGACACCGAGGCCGGGCACCTCGCTGGTGACTCCATCATCCGGGATAGCCAGTATCGCCGATACCTTATGTTCTTCTACTGCAACGCGACTGCATTCGCGCTGTCCATCGTGGTCATCATCCTCATCTTCATCCTTGCTATCCTGCATGAGAAGGGGAAGTTACAGATCCCCATGCTTCCACTGCGAGCAGCCATGGTGCTGGACCTGCTAAGCCTCATTGGGGCCTATGCTGCAGGGACCAGTCGGGGTGTTCTCACAGCCGGCAACGTCTCTGCACTTGTGGCTACTTTCATCTATATGGTGGCACAGATGGTGGTAACTTTATGGCTTGACAAGAAACAGACTCAGGATATAAGCTCAGGTAATCTACTAATCCTCCTAATTCAGCGCACTAAATATGGACCATGTCAATATTCAGAGGGGAAATTGACCAGGTGATGAGAAGAAAAAACGGCACCGCAAGGTACTGATGCTTCTCGCAACATTTGTGGCAAGCATCACATACATGGCTGGGCTGAGCGCACCGGGTGGCTACTGGGATAACAACCAGGAGGGCCACCATCCAGGCGATCCCGTCCTGTGGGAACACCACTCTCGCCGTCTGAGGGCGTTCTTTGTCTGCAACACAATTGCATTTGTCGCATCCCTGCTCATCATCATGCTGCTTCTGGACAAGAAGCAGCGGATCTTCTTACCCCTCGACAAGATAAAGATCACCATCACCGTACGGACTTATGTGCTCTACGCGTACATCACCATTGCTCTTTTAGGCCTTGTGGGGGCCTATGTGGCTGGCAGCTGCAGAAAGCCTGACACTACCATCTATGTACTCAGTCTGGTTGGTGCTGTTCTTTTATGCATAGGCGCCCTCCAGGCAGTCCTATTTTTTCTGCCACAACTTTCAAACATATCCTGCTTGCCAATAATTGCAAAGTTATCATGTTCACCGGGAGGGCCATCAGATAGCAGGTACTGAACACAAACATTTTTCTGCTGCCTATCCTGTTGCCATCTTTAGTTTAATGTTAACTTTGTTTGAATTAACAGTTCCAGAAAGAATACAAGCAGTAAGACAGATATTCTGGAGAAGGCCCAATCTCTTGTTGTACTGCTTGCCACTCTTGTGGCAACTGTTACTTACCAAGCAGGGCTAGTCCCACCAGGTGGTGTCTGGCAGAAAAACCAAGATGGGCACATGGCTGGCGAACCAATACTCTTATCCACACAAGCCAAACGTTACAAGGTGTTCTTTTACTGTAACTCGACAGCCTTTGCAGCATCATTGGTTGTCATAGTTTTGGTCCGGTATAAACCTTTGCTCAGGCGCCGCATTCTAGAGATAACTATGATTTTGGATCTGTTTGGTCTCATGGGTGCATATGCTGCTGGAAGCTGCCGGGACATAACCACATCAGTTTACATCATTGCCTTGGCAGGCGGTGTTCTAGTCTATGTGGTGATTCATGTTGTGTTCTTCACGCTTGAAGACAATGACAAGGAGAAGGAAGTTGGGAACACGAATTCTGTACGAAATGGTTCAGTTGTGCGCACCCAAAATAATTCAGCTGAGGGCAATCTTGCTGAGAAAGATTCATGTATTGACAAAAGGCGCAAGAGGCTGCTCCTTTTCGCTGTTTTGGGCGCGACCCTCACTTATCAAGCTGGGTTGACCCCACCGGGTGGGTTCAGAGTTGTGGATGATGGTTTTGGGCGCCATGCTGGTGATCCAATACTCTTTTACAACTTTCCACGCCGTTACAAGGCATTTCTCTATTGTAACTCGGTAAGCTTCATGTCATCTCTTTCCCTCATCATACTCCTCGTGAACCCAAATCTGTATAGGCCAGCTATACAAAGCTATGCTCTTTCGGTTTGCACTGTAGCAGGCTTGTTTGCTCTTCTGGGAGCCTATGCTGCCGGAAGCACTCAACATCTGAAAACATCCATTTATGTCTTTGTGTTGGTAGCTGTGGTGCTTTTCATTATGATCATACTCCTGGTGTGTTTCTATCAAAGTGAGAGCAAAGAGAAGCGAGATGACATATCCAAGGAGCCCGTTGAGAAAGACAAGGACAGAGCCAAATACCATGCCAAGCGCAAGTACTTGATGTTGCTAGGGGTCCTGGCTGCAAGTGTTACTTACTCCCAGGCTGGTCTGAACCCACCTGGCGGTGTGTGGCAGGGTAATAGTGACGGGCATGGTGTGGGTCACTCGGTTATGCATGACAATAAGAGGTATCGCTACCTCACCTTCTTCTACAGCAACTCAACTTCTTTTGTGGCATCTATTGTTGTTATCATCCTATTGCTACCGACGGAACTGCTAAAGAAGAACAGGTGGCTAAGGGTGATGAATATTACAATTGTGCTGGACTTGCTCGGCCTACTGCTAGCCTACGTGGCTGGGTCGAGCATGAGATGGGAACCTTCTGGATATGTCATTGCATTTGTTATTGGTGCACTAGGCTGTGCTGCAATCCACAAGTTTTTGTCATTTGTCAGAAGGTCTCAGCAACAGGGGCAAGGAAATGATCAGCCTTCTCGGTTACCAGAAGGCGGCAGTCAAGCTTAGATGTTGTTGGCATGGTAACGAGCGGATTAGAGGGCTCAAGTGTAGCAAACACTCAAAAAGTACTGCCATTTTTTTCTTATCTCCTTTTCGAGGAAATAATGTTGCTATTTTTGGAATTTTTTTAAAAAATAATACGATTTTAATAGAAAATCGCAAAAATATAGGTCGGTTCGACGAAATCGTAAATTTAGCACCCTGTCGAACAACCGTGTCTCGATAGAGGTACTTATCGAACTATGGCAGTTCGACATGTACCTGTCGAACTGCCATAGTTCGATAGGGTAGTTGGTCCAAGGGAAAAAATAAAAAAAGGACAGTAACAGTGCCCGGCAGGACATATCGAACAAGCAAACTTCGATAGGGTGGCATGTCGAACAGCCCAAGTTCGATAGGGTCTCAGCTACAGTGTGCTACAGTGTTTTTCCTCTTTTTAAAAATTATTTTATCACCTGTCGAACTGCCGGCACCCTGTCGAACTGCGGTTGTTCGATAGGTACCCTGTCGAACCACGGATATTCGATAGGGTGCCAAACTTGCGATTTCGTCTAACCGACCTATATTTTTGCGATTTTCCTTTAAAATCGTATTATTTCCAAAAAAAAATCCTATTTTTGCTTTCACGAGTAGGCACATTTCAAATATTTGTACTATATATATATTCACATATTTCCTTCAAGCTATGTGAGCATCAATTCTATTGAACAAATGAAATCATCATGGGCATCAGCAATTCAACAAGCAAGAAAATCGAAGTAGGAGAGGAGACGCACCTGGCACAAACTGAGCAGCGCCCGCATCAGCAGCGCAGTCCTGCCGAGCAAACTGGGCTGCAGAAAAATCACAACACTGCCGTTACAAGGCTGCCGCGTCCTTGTACACCTTTCGTCGAACACTCGTCGAGCACCTCCGAAGGGGGCGATTTTTCTTCTAGCAATAATGGGCACGGATTCCCGCTGAGCATTTCATCGAGCACGTACCGCGCGCTCTGCCTCCGCCAGCCACCGCCGCGGCCTGCTCCGCACCAAACCCGGCCACCACCCACCCGCCTCCCTGCAACCGCGTGTCAAAAATCAAAATCCGCAGCGGGAAAGAAACTGTAGCATGATCGAAGCAGATACTTACACAGATCGAAGCGAGGAGTGACCGAGTGAGTCCGCCTCGCGCGCTCGCCGGCGTTGTGCGGCGGGTTGCGCCTGCGTGATCTGTTGTGAAATCTACGCCCACCATTTCCGCTTTGGGCCGAATTTATTTACGTACCATACTTGGGCCAAACTTTTGAACCTACGGACCAAAGGAATAAGTTCATCCGAGGTCCCTTAACTTTACACCGAATCCGATTTTCATCCGTGAACTCCAAAACCAGAAACAACCGGTCCTAAACTGTCAAAACCGATACATACGAGGTCCCTCGGCGGTTTGAAAGGTGGTTTTTGCTGACGTGGTGCTTACGTGGCTGGTTTGACTAGTTCTTCATCCCACGTGTCATTTGACGTGGCGCTTGTGACAATTCTATCCAAAAAATAATAAAAACCGTGGGGCCAAATATCAGTTACACCAAAAAATAATAATTTAAAAATGGTGGGGCCCACGGGAGCCTCACATGTCAGCCTCACTCCTTTCTTCCCTCTCCCTTCTCTATTCTTCCTCATCCTCACTCCTCTCTTCTTCCCTCTCCTCTCTCTCTCTTCTTCCCGGTGAGCGGACGGGCAGGTGGGCGCCGAAGCAGGCGAGAGGCGGGAGGAGGACCACCGCCGTGCGGTTGCACAAATCCGGCAGCTTAGCCACAGGAGTCGCCGCCCGTCACGCACACCGTTGTCGTCGCCAGCCGTCATGCCGCTCGTCGGCGGGCAGAAGTCGACGTAGTAGTTGGTGTCGACGGGGTAGGTGAAGGTGCTGTTCTGGTCGTCCTTGGCATAGCTGTAGGCGTCGGGGCAGAGCCCCTTGAAGAACATGGAGTAGCTCGTCAGCGGGCAGACGTGCTCGAACTTAACCACCTGGGACACGGAGCTCGGGGAGGCACCTCGCCGTGATGTCCACGGCGCAGCTCGACTCGCGCCCCGTGCTGAACCCGGCGTCGCCGCCGTTGGTCAGCTGGAAGCTCACCAGCATGTTGAACCCATCGATGAGCGACAGGTCGGGGTCGGGAGCCGAGCGTGTACTCTGTCAGCGTGGCGGGCGGCTCGCCGGAGACGGAGCAGGACAGCGCGCCGGCGCAGTTGCCCATGATGCAGCGGACGTGGCCGCCGCCTGAGCTCGGACAGCCCGTGCGCGGCTCGCTTGCTCCGCTGCCCACCGGCCCGTCCGCTCCCCGCCTCCCCGGGAAGAAGAGAGAGAGAGGAGAGGGAAGATGAGAGGAGTGAGGGTGAGGAAGAAGAGAGAAGGGAGAGGAAAGAAGGAAGGAGTGAGACCGACATGTGGACCCATGTGAGCCCCATTATTTTTAAATTATTTTTTTGTGTAACTGAAATGTGGGTCCACGGTTTTTATTATTCTTTCGGGATATAATTGCCACGTAAGCGCCACGTCAATGCCACGTGGGATGAAGATCTAATCAAACCAGCCACGTAAGCGTCACGTCAACCAAAGTCAACTAAAACTGCCTTCCAAACCGCTGAAGGACCTCGTTTGTACTGGTTTTGACAGTTTAGGGACCGGTTGTATCTGGTTTTGGGGTAGGATGAAAATCGGATTTAGTGTAAAGTTAAGGGACCTCAGATGAACTTAGTCCCGAACCAAATTGAGAATTTTTTTTATTTTTAATTTTTTTTATTAAAAGTTTTACAAAAATAATTTTCCATTTTGAAAATTGACGGAAGTAGTCGCCTACCGCCCTCTGGGAGGGCGATTTTTAAAAATCGCCATCCCAGAGGGCGGCGAAAATGACGTGGCAGACGGCCGTTCGCTCTCGGGCGACGGCCGTCAACGAAATTTGCAGGCGGCCTCCTTGCCGCCCTCCGCTAGGGCGATTTTGTACTGTGCGGGGGGCCGCCTGCAAATGGGCGGCGAGGGGGCATGGAATTTTGCAGGCGGCCCCCTTGCCGCTCTCCGCTAGGGCGATTTTGTACTGTGCGGGGGGCCGCCTGCAAATGGGCGGCGAGGGGGCATGGAATTTTGCAGGCGGCCCCCTTGCCGCCCTGGGGGAGGGCGATTTTTGCCTCCCCCTATAAAGCCCAGTCCACCCTCTCTGAAATTTCATTATATTCACTAAAAATCCAAAAAAAACGAAAGAGAGAGAGGAGAGGGCAGCAGAAGGGGAGCGGCGAAGCCCTGCTGGTTCGCTCACTTCATCACAGGTTTGCTCCAATACATCTTTTGCATTTGTACTAATATGTTATGTTTGATTATATATGTTGCGTTTTAGTTTTAGTTCCATATATTTTAGCATATCTGTAGCACACAGCACATATGTGTAGATCCAGAGCATAGAATATAATTGTATGAATTGAGACATAGACAGTAGTGTTAATTGTAAGATGTAGTTTAGTTTGATCTGGAGAATGTAACCTACTTTTAGAATTTTGGAGAACAATATTTGTCACGCCCAGAAATTCTCAAACCAGAATTTCTAAGCTGAATGTGCATTAAATCCCTGTCCAGGACCAGCCAGGGTACACAAACGACAATTGTTGACATACAGATCCACGTCTTACAAAAATAGAAAAGATTACAAATGCAGCGGAAAAGAAATAAAAGCGAGCTAAACCGGGAAGCTTGACTTCAGCAGCGGGCGACTCCACTCCACAGGCAATCCTTGACGGCAGCGACGAAACCAACTTTGACAAAACAGCTCCAACTAGGAAGATCTTCAGCTCTGGTGTGGGGGAAAAGAGAGCAAGACTGAGTACTACCCACTGTACTCAGCAAGTCATACCGGAAGAGGAGGTATGATGCAGGATATAACCAAAGGAAGCTAGAGGTTCTTTTGCATAAAGCTAGCATTTAAAAGCAGTAGTTGAAAGCAGTAAGACAGTTGTAGTAATTAATCAATATTAACCAAACACTGTCCAACGCTACACCACGTTGCAACAGGCCCAGCCAACCACCTGAACTACACCAGTTCATTAAGCTAAACTAGGGATGAGACTAATCACGGTGAATCTGGTTGATCGCCCATAACCGCGGGCACGGCTATTCGAATAGTTTTACTCTGGCCAGAGGTGTACAACTGTACCCACAAGACACGATTCCACACATGTCGCCATGCCCCGAAGTATCACCATGATACTGCAAAGGGGGAAATCGTGACAAGACCCTCCACATAACCCTCCCCTAACCATCCACACCACGCTAAGGTTTCACCCCCACCCCTCAAAAGGCAGTGGGCGGTCCCCTCTTGCGCCGCGGTGAATCCGGCAGCTGGACAACCGGACACCCCGGCCGACCCAACTCCATCACGCCCACCCTCGCCACCGGTGCCTAGGAAAGGGTCGAGCTATACTTCAGATCAAGCAGTTACCCACTCCCGCTTGTGGTAAGCACGGTAAGTCTCCCAGGGTTTCCCGTGAACCGGTCCTTAATTGCCATGGGTGCGACCAGCAAAACCATGCACCCACAACCCACCATTCAATGTATTTTAATTAACTAACACCATTGCGGTGGCACCAATCCAAAGCTATGCTCATAGTCAAAGTCTATGTAATAATGTAATCCCTTTTTGTGTACTAGTTGAGCTAAGCATGGCTAAGCATTTCCTAAACCAACATCTAATCATTTTGATACCCAGGTTATCAATGGCATATGGTAAACAATAAATGGCTGAGTAATAGGACCCATCCCACATGATATTGTAAAAGAATGCAACATTTAATAGAAATGCGGGATATTTGTAAATTGGGTACAATATGATCAAACGTATTGCATGACTTGCCTTGCTCTCGCACTGACGAGACCTCAGCAACGTCTTCGAGAAACCGTGGATCGACGAAACGGCCGAAACCTACGCGACAAACAAAGCACACAAGCAAAACATGCTATAAGACTACTGAAACAGGAAACAAAACCATTTTTAATGGATTCTTTGCATTTTTCTTGATTTACTGAGACTTGAATGGACTTAAACGGAGCTCGGATGAATTACTTATGAATTTTAGAAGATAAAGTGTGTTTTTACTAATAAAGAAAAGTCCTTAATTAATTTATTGCGCAATAATACCCAGGGCTGACGTCAGCAAGGGGAGGGGGTGGCGCCGACAGGCGGGCCCCACTGGTCAGCGGCACTAAGAGAGGGAGAGGGGGCGGCTGGCAAGCGGGCCCCACTGGCAGCGGCACAAGGGGAGAGGGAGGGGTGGTCCACCGGCTGGTGGGCCCCACCGGGCAGCGGCACAGGGCGGGAGAGGGGCGTGGCCGCTGGCTTGGCACGGCTCAAGCCGGCCGGCCATGGCGAGGCGACGACGGCGCACGACCGCCGGCGGTGACCGGCGGCGCGGGGAGACGGCGGCAGCCGGCGCGAAGGCGGCGGCGGCAGCCGAAGACGACGGCGGACGCGCGGAGGGCGGCGGCGCTCACGGGGGAGAGGAAAGGAAGGAGGAAAGGGGATTCCTCACCGAGGCGATGGCGGCGACCGGCGTGGGAAGAGACGAGCGGCGATGACCGGCGACGCGGAGGCACGGACGGGCGGCGGCGACACCCTAGGAGAAGATGGAGAGGCGTTAGGAGAGGAGACGACGACCACGGCGGCTTGAATTGCCGGCCGGAGATGGAGGGGAGGGGAAAAACTCACCGGCTCGCGAG